CCTTCCACAGGGGGCAACATCTGCCGATCAGTCATGGTTCCACTTGGTGAAGACCCCAAGAAACTTCCTTGGGAAGAAACAATTTTCTCAGGACTGGCAGCCAGTTTGGGGGATGTGGAAAAGTTATATCCATACAAGGCACAGGGACTGTGGAGTCTAAATGTATTGTAAGAGCTTTGGTGGGTTTGATTAGTAGTAAAGGCATTGCTGGATGGGGATGGCATGATGTACTGGAGCTGTGGAGACATCCCTGAAATCTGCATGGATAAGCCGGTTTGTGGGCAGCTGAATGCATCACCATCATTGCTCGCCATCGACATGTTCACAGTTGTGCTACTTGACACACCAACGTAAGAGGGAGTCCGTGGGGGTGCAAAGGTCTCACTGGTTTGGTTTGTGAGCCTGTTGTAGGTCTCAGCCAAAGAAGTGCTGTATCTGTTAAGGGTTAAGCCTGAGCGGGCACAAGCTGTATAATCAGCTGGAGCAAGGCTACAAAGCTGGCTAGTGTTGGGACTGATGTGGAAGGCAGGAGAAGAGCAAGGGGAACCTGGTAAGAGGTGAGGGTGGGTAGATGGAACTCCACTGCCAGATCCCTGGAGTAAGGTAGAGGAGCCTGTGTTTCCTGAAAGAGAATATTAAAACATAAATAGCATACTGCAAAAGGAGAACATCCTTGATGGTGTTTAAATCACTGACTTACATCCGACTTGCATCTTTCTTTACAAAGCTCTGACACAAGAAAGTTTGATAAGAAAGAGGATGGATGTAACACTGAAATGCTATACAGTTGTGAAGAAATACCTTATCTAATTAAAGGCAACCAGCCTGACTGGCACTTTTATCTAATGCCGATTCAAAAAGGCCTGCTGAAGTACCCAATCTATACAGACGCTGGGGAGCTAGGTCAAACTAATGCACTTCCTCTTCCAGTAACATGCTGTTTCCCCTCTGGAATGTCTGCCAGTGCTCTGCATTTCCAGGAGGAACAGGGCAGTAGCAAGACTTACGTCTTTATTTTATGTAGTTCTTTATATACATTCCTGTAAATAAAATGTTGTTTCCATATCACAAGTATCATCAAAATACTACCAGCAGCTCGCCTACTGCATCAGGTACAAGCTACAGTGCTCAGCCAATAGCTACAGCTGGGAGAGAATTAGAACGCAGGACTCCACTCCTTCAGGTTGCTGAGCAGACACAAGGGCTGTCATCTTAGCAGCTGCATGGCCTGCACAGCATCTCCAGGAGTGCACCTTTTCCAGCAAAGAAAACAGCTTCCCTGCTTAAAACTTTCCCCCGAAAAATCAGGTCCCTCAAACTGGGGTGTAATGTGTGTATTGGATACAAGAAAAATATGGTATTTATGACATACTATACTCTCCAGCTTGTTATGATCAGGAAATTAGTGTTCTTTTTGAAGCATTTACTCAATGAATGCAGGTGAGGAATAAGCCTAAAAATGGTTGCACCAAGTAGTACATCTGCTCTCAAGATACCAAAACTTTCCCTGCTGCTAGGGGAGTTTCCTGTTCTCCCTAGCAGGTATCTGAGAAGCAAGCACCTGAAACTAAAAGCCAATGGCACATAGAGGGGGAGGAATCTAATATGCCTACCCATTCAAGCATCATATGTGACAATCAGACAGGCCAGAGGCAGCTTTTGCCAATACACTAACAATTTTTCGAGACAGGCATGAACCAGGTCAGTTTAACCAATAGGTCATTTAAGCCACTGAATAGGGCTCCCAGCTCAGTGCGTGGGGAGAGGAGGGGGCATATGAGTTCACTGTTTGGTTATTCTACTGTTCCCAAAACAGGGACAGTTCATGAGCCCCACATGAGCCCAGGCTCCAATTCAAAGCATAACTTGGCTCTCATGTCCTTTAATCTGGCCTTAACTATAACCAAATATATAATAAAAAGATACCAGATTTCCAGTTAATTATTTTCTGCCTCCTCTCATTCTGCTTGCAACCAGGCACTAAAAAGCACTCAAAATCCCAACTAAAATTTTATCTATTTATTTCTCTCTCACGTTCTGAAAGTGTCCCCCAACGTGGAGAAAAGGTGAGAATGCATTTCTAAAAGGGGTGAACTCTAAACAAAGGAGAAATCATCTGGGTTCTGCTCTGTAAAAGGAGCTACCCATTTAAGCAGACTGAGAAATAGGAGATCCAAGATTTTGCCCAGAATCTAGCTCCCATTACTCTCACCTGCAAACATCAATAGGAACTTCCACAGCATCCAAAGCCCCAGAAAACACGAGCATGAGCTGTCATGTCTTAGAAACAGGAAGTTCATTAACATGAGCTTCCTCACATGAAAAACATTGCTGTTTACAGGCATGTGGGTAGGCTGATCAGTCCCCTGGGTAGATTTGCCTGAGAAGCAAACTGCCTTTGGAGTCTTACATATTCAAGTATCTATATTATATGGATTTTAAGTTGGGAGCGAACTTTTCATTTCATTCCTTCATGCATGTGAACTTACATGCACACCACATAGGCGTGCACACATGTGCACACTTCACCAGAATTCAGCCAACCTGCTTGAAGTTTCATGTGTGATCTTATGCCAGCGTGGAATTATTCTGGGGAGGCTGAGGTAAGTAAAACTGTGTGTTCTGGAGATGCAAGGAATTTTAAATGAAACAAAGAAAAATGATCTCACCTCCTGAACATTTTCCTAGCCCTTTTGGTTCTTTGTAATTCAAAATGGCTTGGCACAGAAACTCCACATTTTTTGTATAGCAATGGCAAAAACTGGTAGCTATGACCAATTTTTTTTTAAGGAAGGAAGAGGAAACTAGTTATTAAAAGTGGTTTCTATGTGCATTATGCACACTAAAGATTTAACTCCTCATGATCTTGATGACACTGCCACAAAGAGGTAATGGTGGGAAAACTACCATAAGGCAAGCAGAGAGAGTGCGTGTGCATGTGCATTGGGGAGTGAGAAGAACATGCAGAAGAGCATGGAAGATCTAGATTTGTTTTGAAAGGGGACAAGAGACACACACACACAAAGTTTGGGCAGAAGAAATGATCCAGAGACTGCTTGCCCTATCCCTTCCACCACCTAGTGTTCCTTATAACAGGAAAAATTGGACAGATGGAGTTATAAATGAGTGATGCAGCTTGGAGAGAAGAAAGAAGAAAAAGCCACATAGGAAGAAGCAGTCTCCACCTCTTTGCAAGTTCTAGGGACCCAGCAACCTCCACAGAGACTCCTTGCTCAGAGATTTGTATGTTTTTAAAAGTCTAAGGGCTTTCTTGGAGAGGAAGCTAAAGTTAAGGCTGCCAATATTTATGACATCCCTGCACACACTTATGTTTTTTTTTTAAGTTAATCACATACACACACCTAGGAAACAGTTTGGGAATGCACACCTGAAAGTCACCTATAAAGTAACTCTGTTTTACATCTCCATCCCAAAAGTAGAAAATGTGCAAGAGACTATTCATTAGGCCTCTGTCAAGCGGCTGGTATTCACTTCAGATTCAGCAATTCAAATCACTGCCCTGAATTGATTCAGCCGAATCTGATTCAGAGCTTCAGCCGCTGCTGAATCAGCCAAATCTCCAAATCAGACAGGCCTCATCCCCTGCCTGCTCTCCTGGAGGGGGAGGAGGGATCCCCGCTGCCCCCCAGTGCCCTGCACTGTGTGGGGGATTTTGCTACAAGCACCCCAACCCCCGCCCGCTCTCCCAGCCCCCCCAATGGCTGCCCCATCTACCCCCAGCGCATCAGCTCTTTCACAAAAAAAATGGCAGGAGGCAATCCCCCAGAGACCTTGATGGCTGCTGCAGCAGCCAGTGAGTGCAGTGTTGGGTTTTTTTTTGTAAAGAGTTGGGAGCTGGGGCTGGACAGGGCAGTCATTAATAGGGCTGGGGGCTAGTGGCAGAGCCCCCTATGCAGTGGGGAGCACTGGGGATGCTCCCCCCGCCCCACACACACACCTGGCAGCAGTGTCAGTGTCAGTGAGGAGGGGCTCTCAAAAAAAAGAGCCAGAAGGGACTGCCCAAATCTCCAAAGCTCTCCGAATTGATTTGGAAAGCTACAAATCAATTTGGACCTTTTTAACGGTTTCCTGATTCAATCTGGATTTGGAGATTCAGCTGCAGAAAAATCAGGCCAAATCTCCTCCGAATCGAATTAGTACCTGAAGCTTTGCACAGCCCTACTATTCATATTGTCTTTAAATAACTTGTGGCTTGATCCATAATCAAGTAAAAATATCAAAGGTCTGCTTAAGCCTAGCAAGCTAGTCCAGTTGGAAACATGCTATTTTCTAGAGGCAGTAACACACAAGGATGCTGTGTGGCTAGCATCACATTGGCTGGCATTGACTCCCAAACCCAAATGACCATATATTCTTTTACAGCTGGCTTGACCAAGGCCATCCTTTGTTACAGGTCCAGAGCTGGCCTTAATAACATTAGTGTTAACAAAAGCTAAGAAATCGATGCATCTGGATTACAGTACTCTTTCAGAAAAACTAGATGTATACTGAAGCTGCATTTAAATGGAAGTACCCTCCTCTGTACTTTATCATTACTAAAAGGCCCTCTTGCCTGTTTTTTAATTAATGCCCTTCTATGTCATTGAAGTTTGCTTTCTTCATTTCTTCTTCAGAAGGGACCATATCCTGGGAAATTCTGCAGACATAGGGAATGTCAAATGCTGTGTTGTGATATGGCAAGATAAATTACTACAAACCTATATGGGTTGGGCTGAGACTAGTATGTTGCAAAATGGGTCAGAACAGATTCAGATTTAAATTTCAAAATCATTTTCATAGTCACTCTTATGCAAAATAAAAGCCACGTACAATAGAGATTGATACAACACAGTTATCCATAAATTCAATATCCCTATCAAAACCCTGTTTACAGAAAACCTTCACTAGAAATGTCTCTGCAAACAGGGTATAACAGGTCCACAAGAGGTAGTGTAGAAAAGGGCTAAATTAAAAGTAATGTTGGTGACCCCAGTCATTCACTTTGCCCTTCCACTTTACTTTTCAATGTAACCTTTATTTTGAATTTCCTGTCTAATATTTCAGGGGTGGGCATTTCTTGCCCTAGTTTGAGAACCACGAGGCTCATCTACACATCCCTACAGTGCCTTTATTACTGCACTGTCATTTAGTACTTTGGCAAGTACTAAATGACAGCACAGTAACAGCTTGTACTGTGCCGTGCACACTGTGCACCGATATTTTTAGCTGCTACATCACCATAGCAATGAGCTATAATGAGGGAGCATGTTGCTACGACAACATAGCTGCGGCATCAGTTTGTGACCGCTGATGCTACTTCGTTGTAGTGCGTTGTTACGGCAACATAGCTTCACGTGTAGATGTGCCCACAGTGTTCTTATTACAACTTCAGCTCCAGATTAGTGAAAGGTTTTTTGCTTAATGATAGATCGTAGTCTAGATTGATAGATTTTGTATTTTTAATGGTGGAGGGAAAATATGTTATTGGAAGTTCAAACCACAATGCAAAACTATCAATAATAAATATATATTATATATGGATATGATATAGATCATATATAGTACACAGTTTTATATAAATGTGTGCACACTTGTGCATATCTGATCTATATTCATATGTCCATACACACACCATTTATTTTTTATGGATGACAGTGACTTTATTGAATTATTCTGCACTGGACATTGTAAGCTTCAGTAACAGATCTTACTTGGTCCTATACATTACCGATGTGGTTAAACTAGCGGTGCTACTATATCTGAAAATAAAATATCATCTCTATTATGATATATGTTTAGATTTTTTTTCCTGTAAGGGTCATTTTTTTTTTTTTTAGGTAAGGAACAGTAGTAATTTTATCTTTGAGTTTTCCAGATCATCAAAATAACAAACAAGACTGTTACCTTGTTTCGGTATCCCAGGTATATCTTCAAAAGTAAGTGTCCTTAGTGATGGTCTCCAGAATGCATACGACTCAACTAAAGCTTCCAGTCCCATTCTAATCAAAAACAAGAAAACCAATGGTGAAGAGTCATCTGTATTTTGCTTCTAACTATCTGATAAATTCTCTCACACACGCACACACATGCAGTCACAAAAAGCAACTTTTCAAGATGCCTGTGCCTCTGTCTCAGCCCCCATCCATGGACTAGCTATGATCAGCAATGAACTTGCTGGTGGTCTGGAGAGACACCTGGAATACAGGCTCTCTTCCTCATTTGCAGTTGCCAAGTCAGTTTTTTTAGAAGCCAGAATGTCATTAAATACTTTTAAAATATGGCTGTTTCAGATAAACATCTTCTCTAAGTGCCAGAGGGATGAACTGCCATGTCTGATTAGAAGGAAAGTGATCCACAGAACAAATTTCTAGTAAGATTAGATTCGCAAACACTATTTTTGTCTCCAAAAACTGTCCTTACACAAGGAGTGATGCATGGATGCACTGCTGAGTTGAATGTGCACAGGCAATATTAGATAAAAGTGTCTTTAGCAATTAACTTTGTTAGTTTTCTCTAAGCTTTTTGTTTCCTTTAAGCTTTTGTAATGAGAAAACAGAAATAAATGATCATCCAGCCATCTAACTAGATCTGCTAAGTAGGATAATTCTTCCCCTTTCTTAAATAATAAATGTTCCTTATTTTTTCTGCCATGAACTTATAAACAAGAGTATTAAGTCAGAGCATTGATATAATTTGCCGCTACTTTTTGTTGCAGCACCCATAAGGCCTGTTAAGCATCAACATCAAGTGCATACCAAATACGAGTACTTGCCTTTGAGCAGCACAGTTAGTAAAATAGAAATATGCAACTGCTCTGATTTAAGGCTACCAACATTCTCTTCCTATATTACTTTTTTCACACTGCAATTCCAGCAGGATCACAGCAGATATGTTGCAGGAAACAGTTATAAAGTATTTATTAGCTGAACCTGGACTAAAAAATAGCCTTCATTTTCTGCAGTAATGGTGACTTTTCATTTCTAGTTAAAGTGGAGATAAAAGTCACCTCCTGGAGGAGTGCAGCCAAGGCGATAATTTATACAAGATGCCTTCGAACAATTTCCACATTTTATCACCACCCTAATTTATGCTATCAAATGGCTAAGTTTATTTAACAAAACAGTTATGTTTTTCCTGAAGTATTTAAAAAGAAGAAATTTTGGTCCTTTCCTGAATAAAAGTTTTTATAGGGTCAAACTTAAAGCCTAACTGAAGAATGAAGCTATTCTCAGCACATAAATTCTATTTCACTTTGTAAGCGTACAGAGTGCTTTTACAGGGTGAAGCTACTGAGCTCTATAAACCAGGACTATAAATGACCTGAAAGGAAATATTTTTTAATTAAACAGAATTACTTTACCTAGCTAGAGAGAGGAAAATTAGTACAATGCAATGTACAATTAATGCTGTGCTTATTTGGCCTAAAAAAGTTTAAAACAATGATATCACAGTATTTTAAGCTTTTGTTATGGATTAACACATCTTGGTAGTAGACATGCTACATAAAATGTTATAAATAATGGAGCCTTTAAAACTAGTCTGGAATGATTTAAAACATGGTGGGAAGATCTGGTGGACAAAGGATTAAAATTGAGCCACATCCCCAAGATGTATTTGATTAGTTCCTTGGTGCATAAGCAGCACAACACTGTTGCTTTCAGGAGAAGAGAGGCCACTGTACATTTTGCAACAGGCAATGCTCTAGCACAGCAGTTCTCAGCTTTCTTATACTCAAGTTGCCCTTTGCTATACTTGAGGCACCCCTCAAAGTGACAGCTCATAGTCCTCACTTGTTTTGGGACATGAAAATACTTGAGCCACTCTTCTGTTCCAAAGGACTCTGAAAGACCACAACAGGGCAGAATGTTTTTAACACTCTGAATTCCTATTTGAAATCTCTGGGTTTATTTCATAGAGATTTTCATAGATTTCACAGACATTTGGGTTGGAAGGGACCCCGGAGGATCATTGAGTCCAGCCCCCTGCCCCAGGGGCAGGAAGTCAGGGACCATGAATCATGGTTGCACACCTAACAGTGTTAAGATTGTGTGGCACTCTGCAGTACCCTTGAAAGGATCTCAAGGTATCCCAGGCTGCTGTGGCATCCTAGTTGAGAACTGTAGCTAAAAACAGCTATCCCATTAACTTTTGAAATGATACAAAATAAATATATACAGGGAACCTCTTTACTAGAATGATCATCACATCTCGCTCTATTAAGTTACCACAGTCTCTTTGTTAAAAAAAATTCTCTCAATGTCCCTGACAAAGGTTTGGGGGGGAAGGGGGGGAAGGCTCTAAAGACTCAATCCTGCAACTAGACTTTTGCAGTTGGACTCCAGCATCCAGTGACAAACCCAGTAATGTCAATGAATGTTGGTACCTTCATGCAAATGGAGAGGTGCCTCATTCCACCCAAGGTTGAGTTTTGCCAATTGTTTCTAATTAGGAAGATGTTAGTTAGTGGATTTCTGGAAATCTTTACAGCCATTTCCCACTTTCCATAAAAGTTAGTCTCCTCTTCTTCTCCTAACATCATGCATTAAAAATATGGTAGTTTGTTCTCCATAATTAAATCTCAGAACTTCTGTAATCCAATTAGAAGAAACAAAAAGGATCTCTAATACTTCACCCTTCCGCTAGAATAAAAGCCTTATGAACTGGTTGACAAAAATGCATTCTTTCCAGTACATACTTCTACTAACATCTAGTTTACTTCACTAGAATGATGGCCATACACATACATGCACTCCTGCCCGCTGCCCCCACCCAGAAACACACACTAGCCGTAGAAAACCAAATACTGAGTGAGCACAGAAACAGTTGTTTAATGCTTTCTTTTTTCAGCTGAAAGCATTTAATATGTAGGATTCTATGTCCATTAAGGTTCAAGAGTGTAAATGTATCATGATAAATAGTGAACATTTGAGGATGCTTCATGTACATTATGGCTGCTTACAGATGTAAAAAAAAGGCACCTTACTTTAAACCCAACGTACTCTCGCGCCAAGCCCAGCATATACCCAGAAGAGGCATCACTTTAGTTGGACCCAGCTTGCCCAATGTCTGTATAGATAGAGCACTTTAGTGAGGCTTTTTTGGTGCTTTTATTTAATAGCTGATTAAATTGACTGAAGCACCTGATCTACGCAGATGCAGTTGAGTGGGTTGAACTAATGTGCTGCTGCATCTAGTAAAGCATTTTTGTTTTTTTGTTTTTTTTTTAACGTTTGTAAGCAGCCTTAGGCTGTGTGTAGACAAAACCAGGGGCATGTGTGCATGACACTTTAAAAGTGGGCTAAATGCTTTTGCAACACTTTAACGATGTTGGTGTTTGTACGCCTCAGCAGCATATTGAGCGTTAATTCCAGCCGCTGTAGGAAATTTGGTGATGTAACGCACGTTAAATGACTTGGGGCACAGCAAACTAAAACTCCTCGGAAAAGTTTTAGTTTGCTGCCCCTGGAGCCACGAAGCGAAGCACCAGGCTCCATGCAGCTCAGGAGTTCTGCAGGAGGCCCGTGCAAGCAGCCTGGCAGCAGCCCAGAAAGGAAGACTGCATCCAGGAGAGGGGGAAAAAAAGCAGTGACCTGATTTTTATTTCTCCCCCTGGAGCCTGCCTGCCTACCTGAGCTGTGCGGAGGTCTGGTGCTTCCCTCCATGGCCCCTGGGACTGCCCAAGCCAGGTGCCTGTGGGCAGGTGCTGCCTTGGGGGGGGAAGAGAAGGGGGGGGGGGCGCCACTGCCATGGACGGAAGCACCAGCCTTCCCAGGGACCGCTCCACCCACCAGCAGCTTGTCCTCCCCACCCCACCACCAGAGAGGCAGGTTGCACACCTAACAGTGTGTGCATGACACTGGGGTTAAAAAAAAAAGAAGAATCAGCCCCAAATTGAAGCAGTGTTTTTAAAAACCTACTGCTTCAATTTAGGGCCCCCATTTCATCTACACACACCCTTAGTGTACATATTTTAGGTGTAATTTGACAATCATTATCTCCTCTCTGAGCACGGCAACACTTAGCTCTTACTAGAAACAGAAAAAATCTCATGTGTTTAAGGATAGTACCCGTTTTTCAGACCCTTTAACAAACTGATGTGAACAGTTTACACTTTCCAAAGCTTACCTGTTACGTCCAGAATCTCTAAACCCTTTGGCAAATGGATTCCTATCAATCTTTAATCGAGTGATCTGTAAATATGATTAGAGTGAGGGATGATGAGAGTTTTGTCAATTCAAAGTTATGTGCAAAGCACATTTATCCACAAAATATGAGCTAACAGTGGAATATTCTATTTTAACTCATTTTAAGAAGTATAAAAAAAAAATGAAGTGCATCTTTTTTCCTATTTACAGATTCAGTGCAGTTTCTTTTGAAAAGTAATTAGGGCCCAATCTTGCAATCATTCTCCAAGTGGATCCTAACGGAAGTCAAAAGGTGTTTATTTTACAACAAGGCAGACTAGGATTCTTAAAATAGTCTGGAAAGTGCTACTCCCTTTAGCCAAGATAGTGCATGGCATGGTTGTCCGAGACACAGTTAAATAATACATAGGCCAATAAATAATATAAAAATGAGAAAGATTATTTTTAGGCCGCAATGCTTACATATACATAAAATAAAAAAGTAGCACAAAATATAAAAGTAATTTTAAATTTCTTTAAATTAACAGAACAGGCACCAATTGGTTGTATGACTCTCCTACTTTAAATTTATACTGAATCATTCAATGATTTTGCTTCCTGAAGAACACAGGTCAATACGCACGCACGTAAAACGTATAATACATCCCAAAATAATTACTCTAAATTATTTAGAATAAATAAAATAGTATTATACAAAATATGAATTAATCATGAATTAGACAAATCATTAGAACAGAATCACAAAGTTAGAGCTGGCTATTCAGATGCACCCTGGTCACAGGAGCACATGGCCACATGCAGCCTAATTTGTCCTGCTGTAAAGGTTGGAGCTCAAAGGTTAGAACGCCATCCTCCTGTATCTTTATGGTTTCTAGTACTTGAATTAGCTTTTTTTAAAGCTTTCTTAAGCATTGCTACACCACCCTGAAGTGTGCAGTACAGATACACCTGAAGAGTCAAGCAACTAGATAGGAGTCTATGGACAAATGCCTTTTTAAAAAAATGAGAAGTTGCAACTTGGGTGTATGCATCAGCTGTTAAAATGGAACAGTTACATCTGCATGCTCCTGCACTGAGCAACTTCAACAGTGAATGAAAAAGGGTTAAAGTTCCAGTGGTCTTTTGCACTTGTATCCCTACAGAAATCCCCAGATGTAACAGTAACATTTAACAGGAATATAACTGTTATATCTGTCCATATCCAGAGGGGTTTCTTGTTTTGTTTTTTTAAATTCCAGAGCAGGCTGAATTTGAACTTTTTATTTTTTTTATTTTTTTTTATTTACACACACCAATTTTGCTCCCTTTCAAGTAAATACTCTGCTCCAGTTAAATTTAACTTTGTCTGAAAGCCTCAGTTATTCTTTCATAAACTGCAGATAATACTTGACTAATATTGCGAAGCATTTTGAAAATCAATGAGAGTTATGCCTTTGAAAATCCCACCAAAGGCATTTAACCTGCACCTGTAGATACCAAGTTTTTAAACATCTGCCTCAGGTTTTATTAACATTTTAAACACTTTCTGCCTTACTCCCTCATCCTCCTACATCCTCTTAGACTGCACATTCCTCTGAGCAGGAGCCATTTCCTGCTCTATACAGCACCTACTATATAGAGACTGTAATCAGTTGTGACCACAAAAAAAAAGTTACTTATTTTTATTTTGTGTTGTAATAAAAGGTTTTCCTTTTCTTGTCTTGCTTCTGCCTGGTATATTTTGAAGACCTAGTAAATTATTAACCAGAAAAAGTCAAAATTACCTGTTGATTTTGGTACGCTGTTACTGTAGTGAAAACAGTTTCAGGAAAAGAGAATGCTTTGACTCCTTCTCCTGAAGGGATAGGCTTGACTGGTGACAGGTCATCTCCACAGTCTTTACGAATGACATGAACACGGGGCTGGTATTTGTGCATAGAATGAAGGATGATCTACAAAAAAAGGTAAAGAAAGAGGTAACATTTGTCAGAAAGGATACAGCAAAACATTTTTCTTTATGAACTTTGCCGTTTCAGTATTAACAGAAGCTTGGAATAGATTTTTGCAAGTGCTGACCATGACAGTTCCTGCAAGTGAAATGTTTCTTTAACATATGGAAGATTTCATTTCTGTAGCCTAATCACCCACATACTTACAGGACTGTCAACCCTAAACGTTCAAAACTGTGTTAGTCACCCCCCTTAAAATAAACCCAAGATATTAGCTTTAAAATCTTGGATGAAATCCTGGGCCTACTGAAGTCAGTGTGAACTCTGAACTTTTAGCACGCACTTGGATATTTTCAAGCTTTTTTCTGTTACCATAAGGTCTAAACATATTTTGCTTTTTTTGTTTTTGTTTTTAAATGAAAGCTGAGATCTTCACTTAGGATTCCAGGAGCAGCAGCTTTAAGGAGAATATCAAATATCACAAAAGCAAACACTAGCAAAACTATGTAGTATGTACAGACAAACAGAACAATTACATACACATATATCCACACACAATACAAAGTACCAGTTTTGGGGCGACATTTTTTAGTAAAGATTGAGGCCTCATCTTACATGTCTTAGGAATCTCAAAACTGTTTACAGAGCATAAACTTAAGCATGCATACTTTTCACAGAATCAATGATATCCTTGCATTTTCGAAGAAGTTGACAACAGAGTAGAGGTTTTTTTTTCTATTTAATTTCTATTAAGCACCCTATTAAAAGAAGTTCTCAAAGAAAAAAAAAGAAATAATGAGATCCTTTGCTATTATTTTTAAAGACCATGGCTACTGGCCTGTAGAAATTCTAATCAAATTTCAGTAGAGCTTTTCAAATTTCTTCTTCCTTTAGCAAGCACAGACTACCTACAAAAATCAAGCACTGCATTCAGCATTTATGCCTTTAAGCCCAAGTGCCAGATATCATGAAGTCTCATTTATCCTAAAAATACAGAGAACATTATTTTAGGCTGGATAAATGAAGGTTTGACTAAGAAAAGTATTTTGAATACATTCCCTCTTGACTACGGGACAATGACCCCCTTTAGATAGCCAATGTTTCTGGATAATTAAGCTTTTATTATACTGCAGTTGAAACTTTGGGCGATGATACTATAAGGACTCCAAAAGCTGTTAGAACCCTATGGACGGTTTAATAAGAGATGACTTTCCAAACTTCTTCAATTTTGCAGACAGGCCAGAAGGAGGCTGGCACCTTGTGTTCAAATCTCTCTTATAACAATAATTCCAGCATTTTGCCTCAAAAAAGCACAGGGAAGCTGTTCTACTTCCATTCCTCAGACTAGTATGTTAAGGCTAGCTGAAGTTGCTCTACACTACACTGCAGTTTGCAGCGTAGACAAACCCTTAGTTTGTCTGGTGCTTAGGGCAGGAACTGCCTTTATGGTGTATGTTTGTGTAGCACCTAGCCCAGTGGTTCCTGATCCATGGCTGGGGTTTCTTGACACTACAGCAATATGAATAATCAATATACAAGGCACAGAACAATAATCAATTGGGCTCTGGAAGTGACACTTTCAATTTAAAAAGGATAAAAACTACAACATTGTTTTACCTCTATTGTTCTAAGTAACACCTGCGATAACTATAATAGTGGGGGGAAAAAGGAACTGCAAGGGGGGGTTCCCTTTTAAGTTTATGTATTTAACAGCACTTAATGAATTAAGTGCACACTATTCACCCTGTGGAACCAGTCAGTCTCCACCATTTTTGTGGATCTTCGTTAAAGACAAGAAATATGAAAACTCTCCTCCCACACCAACACAACCCGCCTCCCCCCCTGAAAAAAAAACAAAAACCACCAAACCCAAACCATCCAGTAAGAATTACTTTTAACTTTTTTAGGTTGGCCACATTTGCTTAAACATTTATTATACAGCTTAACCTGAACATACATATATGTCTTATATAATCCCATTGTTATTTTAAGATAATCACACTCAAATTTAGGGAGAGAGAGAGAGAGAGAGATATACTGCAGGATTTAAACGTAGGTGTTTCAGTCAAATATTGGTTTGCTTCACTTATGGTCAACCATAGCTCGTTTCACAGTGTGAACACGTAGGGTGCATACCACTGCTTTTTGCATATGGACCATTATTTTATCCCACTTCTGCAAGTGGTTGGTAAAGGGCAGAAGGGAGAAGGAGTCTGGAGTTTGCCCTCAGCTCTCTCCCAACATACCTGATGGCATAGCTGCACCAGCACATCAAGGGATGTACACTGCAATGGATGTAACCTCTACCACTTACATACTAGTCAAAGCAGCAGGAAGGAAACTTGACAAGTCAGACTGCTTCCCTGGCTGTTCCATGGACAGCAAAACACACCAGTCCTCACTCTGGGCTGGACTGCACACTGGAATTCTAGCTCTCAGAAAACAAACCGACTTCTTGTTACTAATGAAATTACTAAATTTTAAACTTCCCAGTGTTAGAATTTTTACAGCACTATTCCTAATATGCATTTTCTTCACATTTCATTTCTTCTTCTATTTTCAAACCCTCACCCACTCCCAGGTCTTGGTCCTCATTAAACTTCCGCTAGCTTTCCTCTGTAAGCAAACATAATAAACAGGATGGTAGCCTGCAGTGGCAAGTGGCAATCACCATACCATTAAGTCACAACTCTAGGGACTAACAATTTTTGCATGAATTTAAGCTTTCCTTTACAACTAGATAAGTTTCTACTCCAACAGTATCAAGATATTGTTAATGCAAAAGATAATGCAAGATAAATGCAAATAAAATAAAATAAAAATTCAGCAATGAATCTGCTGACAGAAGGGACACAACAATAGCTCTAAAGAAGAAACACCGGCAGCTACTGTGGAATGAATGGCCCTAAACACAGGAACTATGGGTATAGCTAGAGGCACATGCCACACAAAAGGAGTATGTCTAGAAAAGAAGGGCTATAGTAGCAAAGCGGGACAGTACACAATAATGGTGAATTACTTGGTAGCCATGTTGGTCTGAGACAAAAAAGACATACAAAAAAACTAGAATTCTTGGTTCCAAAATTTTGGTTCTAGTTTTTTTGTATGTCTTTTTTGTCTCAGACCAACACAGCTACCAAGTACACCCCTGAAACATAGAAGATGCCGAATTTTAGCCGATTCTGAATTTTAAAAACTTCATTGCAGAACAACAAGGAAGTTTTTTTGCCTCCCTGCCTGCCATCTGACACCTCCAAGGAAGGAATTCTACCTGGTCACCACATCAAAGAGCTACTCAACGCAGCTCACAAAGACACTCTCATGGACCCAGAGGAACAGCCTTCCATCTTCAGCTCCCTCTGTGCAAAAATGAAGTTTATTTCCTACCTATGGGGACTTTTTACCATCTTGTACCATCTACACTTTTCCCAGAGCCTGACAAAAGGGACTTTGATCCCAAAAGCTTGCAGAAAAGGACAATTTTCTTGCCATTTTCCAGTTGGTCTAATAAAAGGTATCATTTTAGAACCAAGAGTTCTAGTTTTTTGTAGGTCAGTAACGGTGAATGGACCCATGACAACACAAAACTTTTTTTGCTAGGTACAGACATTCAGAAAGCCCGAGGCAGAATCAATCTAATTTATGCTGCTTTCTGTAAGTGGGGTAATTTAGACTGGTAGCGTACAGAACACATTTGCCTTTTGGTGAGCACTGGGTTCCACCATTTTTAAACCAGTCTACGTGTGCCGAACTTCTGTTCTGTTACAGGTATAGAACAGTTTCTGCTCACATATATAACAGTGTAATGTCTGTACCTGCCCTGTGTGACAAAAATTGTTTTTTAATAAGTGTTTATAGAGTGCCTGCCACAATGGGGCCCCAGTCCTGATTGCTGCCTCAAGCATTACTGTAATACAAACAGCACTTCCAGCACAACAGGAATCCCATTTCCCTTACCCTACAGCAGCACACAAGACCCAGCCACTTTTCTACTCACTGCAAAGTTTCTGCTCTCCCTCAGACTCTCAGTGCCAAACCTATGTACTCGGGCTTTGTGCACAGAGAGGAACTAACAAGTGTGAACTGCCTACTATAACCTTAATTAAGCTTAAAGGTGCAAATTTAAATGCCAAAATTTGCAGTTTTTCATTGCAAAAAGCACCGAGACAAAAATACACAGCGATTTCTAAAAAGTGACAGGCAGAGCAGAGCTTGGGGAGAGTAAGAGCCTGCCTGCCTCCACTATCTGATGCATTCATTTAAAACCAGCAGGGGAGGATAGGCTTAACTGAATTACCATAGGCAAGACTCCATTTTTGCACTAGCAACTAAAACACATAAGTTTGTATCCAAGGTAATTAACTGAAAAATATGGGGAACTAGTCCAAAAATGTTGAGACCCCCCCCCCCAAAAAAATTTCAACCATCTCTAAATCATAAAATAGTGACCTGACCTGGAAGCCATTATTCCAGAGCTTGAGGAGAAAACCAGCTAGCATAAGGGGAAGCACAGAAATGTGAAGAGCACACCATATTTGTCTTTGTCAATTGTAAAAACAAGATTTCCTTTTCTTTATCATATTGAATCTGATTAATGCTATTCATTGCCATTGTACACTTGTTGGGGGAGGTGTGAATGAACTTACTTCACCATGTAATTTAAAACATGCCACCTATTGATTGCTTTGAAAAGGTAATTAGCTGTAAGCTCCAGGAAGCCCCTCAAGCACCAGTCTGAAAACATGTACTTATAAGTTTCACTTGCTCTATTTGATCTACGTGCAAAATACATGTTGTCATTATAGGGTGTTGTGCATCCAGGGCTATAAGAGGCTGGGGAGTGGTGATGGGGAGGGAGGATGGAGCATCTCTATCTATCTATTTATACAACACTATAAAGTTATGAAGAGACACCTTCCACCCAAAATGCTAGTGAAAATAGCAATGATCCCGAAAGATTATAGCAAATATTTAAATAGCTAAGTATTGGCCCTAAGCATTAG